CTGTGACATGACCTGGTTTGAAGTGACGTAACCCAAGCCGCCATGATGAGCCCTTCTCACTGATCGTAATTATGATCAATAAAAGGTATCTAATTATGTCTTTCACCAGGAGATATGCACCAGCGGTTACTAAACATCGAATTACTTATTAATTGATATGTTTTTGTAAGCAAGTAAATGTTTTATGTAAAATATTGCTAAAATGAATTGATGTATGCCGATATGCGCACACGTGTGTGTCATGTGTGATCAGATAATTCAAAGAAAACAAGCAACAAAATAAAATACACATTTTACGTAGTTTCTTCTTGGTTTTAAATATCATTTTACATCAATGTAAAAAAAAAACATAGAAATATATTTAAAAAAAATATATTCAGAGATCGATTTCCGGAGCATGAACATCGATTTTTTTTTCCAGATTTTTTGGGTGCGCAAAATATTCGAGTAGAACCTTTTTTACCGATTTTCAGCCTCAAAAAGTACCTGCGCAAATTACACAGGTGCGCAAATTACATGGGTTTTTACGGTATTCAGATAAATGAAGTCCAAACTAAAATAGGTTCCACTGTTCTGTAGGTTTAGCCAGACGCTCAAAGGTTGTCCACTTACATAAAATTCTCATCCAAGTCTGGAAAGGGGACAGGTTCCACCATGACAGGACTGGAGGAGCCACTACTGGATGTAGTACTGGACATGGAGGGCGGACTGACATCGATGCGGTATCGATTGGGGTCATGGAGGAAGTTGACATGATTTGTGTTATCGGTGGCTTCCAATGCCTCGGGATTAATAATACCACATGTTATCATATGTGTTATTGTGCACTCATCACAAGGACATCTGTAAAACAGAGAAATGAAAGAGATAACAAATTATTCCAGTTAAAGATTGATGATGTTACGGCTGCAGGAAAAAAGCAAAATTCTTTCAATGTGTAAAGCCCTAACTTAGTTTCAAACACGAATACATTGACAACAGAATATCATTAGTATCTATAAATCCCAAATCAAATTATGATTTATGACCGTCTATGGATTGTAATCCCTTTTTCAACACATGGTGTCTTACAATGCATACAGAAATGTAGTCCAAATTATTCTGACGTTTTATCGACTTTTTTCATATCGGTCTGTCGTCGATTAACGTCAGAACTCCGGCCCTCTTTAATATGTGGGAAATATGCAACCAGCGCCCGGAGTGCACTTCAAACTGATATTTTAGAAACAAATCGTCACTTTCACACACATGTCGCACATGGATCGAAAGTTTCCAACTTTTTCTATACCAACCCATGTTTTTAATGGAAATCAGGCCATGAGCAATGTCACATGACTTGACGAGATCTCGCGTTACCGAGTTTTTCCCAACGTTATGACGTAGGCCGGCGAGATTTAAGTCACGTGGCATTAGAAGGCGGGCTATCAAAAAACTAGAGTAAAACAGAGTAAGTTTGAAAAAATATGTTTTAGTGATTGTATTGGTTGTTTAAGGCATGTTATGTATGTTCATCTTGTGCATAAAGAATAGATCTTTCGATCCATGTGCGACATTTGTGTGAAAGTGACGATTTGTTTCTAAAATATCAGTTTGAAGTGCACTCCGGGCGTGGGATGCATATTTCCCACATATTAAAGAGGGCCGGAGTTCTGACGTTAATCGACCACAGACCGATATGAAAAAAGTCGTTAAAACATCAGAATAATTCGGACTAACTGAAATGTGATCGAGCATGGTTCAACAACAATACATTGTATGAAAAATAACTGGTCTTTACTTGGTTGATAAATCCCATTCCACAATAACTGGTCTTTACATAGTTGATAAATCCCATTCCACAATAACTGGTCTTTACATAGTTGATAAATCCCATTTGACAATAATTGGTACTCTACAGAAATGTTCATCCTACCTTTTGCGATTACACCTGGAACAATGACACTCCTCGGGAGCAGGTTTAGTTCCCTGCAGCATCAGACGCATGGTTTCTGTGAACTGGGCCTCAAAGCTATTGGTATTACTGCAAATATTTCAATAGATGAGGATGATTGATAATGACTATTGCTATTGTAAGTTCCTAAGGCCAAAACAAATGTGTGTTTCAGACTTTCAAGTATCCAACCTTCCCTAGATTTTCCTGTCGACCCTAGTCACCTACTTGTATTAAAGATTAAGATTAATAAGAAACGTGGCCCCTACAGTGAGTGATCTTATGGCTAATTTGTGTAAAATCCTACTTTTAGTAAGTGACCCTTTACCTAATTAGTTAACACTTCCCTATTCAAACTGTTTAAGGCACGTCCAAAGTTCATGAACTCTAATACTAAATAATGGCCACTGAAGGGATGGCTAGAAGTGTGACAGAGAAATTTATAGTAAGTGACTTTGTCCTCCAATCATGCCAGGTTTGTCTAAGGCAAATATTACTGTGAAGTTTCATAAAAACCTCTGTGAAAATACAGTTGCTAGAGTGATGACAAGTTTTGAGACAAGAAATTCTATTGTAGTAAGTTTTTTGGACCTTTGGCAAACCTCCACACCAATATTCCAACTAGTCAAAGGTATGTGAAGCTTCATGTAAATCTCAGCAAATATGGCCAATGGAGTGCTGACATGGCTTGTGATGTACAGATGGAACAAAAACATAATATCGCTGATCATGGTGTAATGGGAGTATAATTCAACTCGCAGAATAAATATAAATTTAACAGTATAGTGCCAACATATTTTATTTTAACTTGAGACATAACTTACCTATGCGATAAAGGTGTTTTTGTATTTTTTGCAACTTGTTGCTCGAGAATCTTCCTTTGTGCTTTGAAAAACTCCCAGTCTTCCTTCAGCATCTTCTGTTTTAGTTTCAGAGCAGCCTGTAAGCATTCATCAAATGATAAAATCAATCAGGGGTAAGGACCTGGCCCTAGCAATCCTTCTAAACTCACACAACTTTCGCAGAAATGAATATATTAAAACATAACTAACTTCATTTCCTCGATAATTATTTCAGCATTTGCACTTCAAACAATGTACTCTTAAGGATTCTGATACACCATAGACACACTATAATATGTGCTTCCGATACACCATAGACACACTATAATCTGTGTTTCTGCTACACCATAGACACACTATAATATGTGTGTCCATGATTTTAATAAGTTGACAAGAAAATCCAGTGATTTTTTTGCTAAAGTGAATCCATTCAAAATATGCATATCTTAGGAAACTTACATATTTTAGCCAACAGTAGACAAGATCAAAAGTCAAAAGCCAAATATTAGGAATTCGCCAATGTTAGAATTACTTTACAACATTACAATGTGTTACAGATGTGGGCCTACCTGTTCCTCATTGTACTGTTCTATGAGCTGGTGGCTGTCTCTCCACACCACAGATATCACAGACATTTCATCATCAAACTTGAGATAGCGGTGTAACAAATTGGGGTAAGTGTCCTCATTATAGGACTCCTTGGAGGCTGCTCCAAGTCTGACAAGACAATACAAAGTTCATCACAATCATATTGTATTCACATTTTAGTAGTTGATCTTATTTAAGCATTATCTGTATACACTGTCTAAACTTCAAAGTAATGCAACAAAATTTTGACAACTGCTTTATATCAATAACTAATGGTCTATGGTATTTCAAGAAAATAATGCCAAATATACATTTATGATAGAGCTAGGAGTTTTAGTATGCAAGAAATACCTAAAAGCAATAAATTATGATATCGATTTATGAAAGCCTGACATTACTAAAATTAATGAATTAAAAATTACCCTGACCACTTTTTAAACACAAATGCAGTTGACTGCAAAGGAATTATATAACAGCATAATCGTAACATTATTTATTCCTCTACATCAAAAATTCAGTTGTTACAAGACCACATTGTACAATAAAATAAATTGGTATTCTGAGTTACATCATAACTTGATTTTGCATATTCTTTTTTCACTTCAGATAAATCAAAGAGGTCATTGGACTGTAAATGTATTTCGAGGTCACAGTCTAAGAGCTCTTTTAAACTTCCAACCTCTGTCTGTTGTGCCCCTATGCTTACCGAAGTTGAGTGATGATGAGATGGAGACTGCTCTGTATAGAAGGTTCTGTATAGGCAATGGATTGGAACAGGTGTTTGTTGTGAAGCTCCCACGTCACATTAAATTTGGCGAGATGTTCTGTCTTCTGCATAAAACGTTAAAAAAATATCTGCAGCTACTGTTCACATTTCTTTGGAAGAAGTTTTGTTTTGTACATAATTCATACAACAATGGACACTAAAAAGATTTGGGTACAATACTTTTATTATTTTGCAAACAATTGATAAAATTTTGTACATGCATTCCATTAACTGCCAATTAATCAATACAACATGTTTGGAACGACCAGTTTGTCTATTTAAAATGTAATAATTTCGGTTGTTAATCCTTGCAGCCCTGCAAATATTTATGCAGGCCTTGCAAGGCTTTGTCAAGGCTTGCCTGAAATCAGCATCAGATTACTAGGTTTGACTTTATTTCATAAACTTTTAACTCTGGTCCAACCATTTCGATTGTGATAAACAAAACCAGCCCTGATTGGAAGAATACCTACCAGTTCTGTGAGGACTTCAGCCATTTTGCGCGAGACTTGACAAAGGTGTCCATACTCGTCCAGTAACATAGAGATAAAGGTCTTGGCCTCAGGTGGCGTTTTGTAGCCACTATGTAGTTGTTTCAACAAGCGCACTTTCATCTCTATCACAAACTCACGGACTTGTGACTCAAGTCGTAAGAATAACTGATGAGGATCCCGACTACATAACCTGATACAAAGTGTAAACAAATTATAAGGTTAATGTCAAATATTTTGAGTTACCTCCCTTCAATAGCTTGTATTATTTTCTCAATTAATATTTACAGCATAACAAACTTTATAATACTAGTAATCAATCCCCATTAAAATCCGTAAGAGTAAACTTGGCAGAACAGAAATAAGACATGAATATTTTAAGAAAGAAATTATTATTTTTTATCTTTTTTTTTGGACATATGTTATTTCTGCAACAAATTTTGCCAAAAATATTTGAACTCTGAGACATACATTGCCTCCAGAATAGAGAATTCCAGATTGTGTGGATCAATGAGTTTCAGCTAGATTTAAACGACATACCTGTGGACTAGTTCCTTGGCCTGTTCCTCATCTGGTAGGCGAGTATCATCACAGTCGTTGCTTTCTTGTATACATTCAGGAGAGATGTCTGTAGAACTACTCACGCTGCAGTTGTCCCCCCTCTCACTGTAAAGTTTACGGATTAGATTCCTCAGCACCGTCCAGCATGTCTGAAGTTCTTGTGTCTCCCGGTCATGCTCAGCCTCAATCTCCCTAAACACAACAAGTATAACATATACATGACTGTGTATATATCTTGTTTTGGAATCTACAGTTCTCAAGTACATGTTGATTTCAAACATGATAAAATTCAAGATTTTATTTAATTAGATACAGCACAAGGCAAAGCTTTTTAAAATATGTCCAAATAGGTAAATCTGACAACCAATAACATAAGGCAAGGTGTGTGATGTTAAGTAAATCTGTTATGTTATAGCTATCACACTTCCAACCCGTGAAGCTTTCAGTAACACAAACTATGTTTGCTGTACATTCTAACTAACCTTCGCTCTGTGCAGGCTTCACAGTTACACACAGAGCCATTAGGCGTGGTGGGCTCCCCTATACCAAAGTTGGTGTCAGACAGGAATGGCAGAGTGGCTGGCTCCGGTGGAAGGTCCTGTTCCTATAGTATACAATACAAGTTACAACAGTACACTCTTCAATTCAATTTGTATTTAAATGTACTATATGTATACTTAACAAGCATTTAATAGAACATGTTTTTAATCTAAGAATAACCCATCATATTAAGTTTATTTAAGTGTTATATGATGCATGACATTACTTATTAAATTCTTATATACTTCATAATTTCTTCATTTTAATACTTTAAAAGACTCCTGCATCTATCGCAATAATCAATGTGAGTAGACTTAACTTAGATAATGTCTGGTCAAACATAATGGTAGCTTCGACATACTAGTGTTAGTGGGTTTTTTAAACTCCAACGCACGCAATAATAAACTTATCGTTTTAGATCATTACACATGTATTCGAATATTTTGAGTCCTCTGCAATGTTTTTAATTTAATTGGTAACTGTGACAACAGGACTTTAGTCAACAAGAACACTATATACAGATATACACACCATGAAGGATGCAAGGTTGACTTTCTTTTCCATCTCTTGATCTGTCGACTTTCTACAGTCAGGACACACCCATAGCGGAAGCTGTAATACCAGTACAAACCTTGTTAATTATTTATCATTAAGATTCTATAAATATTATAAACTTAAACCTTGTTTATATTTTTTGTTATTCAAATACATACTGGGAAAAATCATTAAATGATCAATAGAAATATTTATAATAGAACGGTTAGAATAATTACAATAGAATGCACAGAGAAAATTGAAACAGTCAATGGCTCAAGGTCTAGAGTAATTTGATATGCAATTACAAGGAATACAAATTTAAATGACGGTGATGTTGACTTACCTGAGCTAAGGAATTAAGCTCTGTCTTTTTCTCACTGGATTCTGTGTAAACAAATCATTTTAAGATAAAACTACCATTCATTGTATCTTGAAGTGACTGGCAAAAGCTACACAAGAATTGTACAATAGAACAATGCTCCTTTTACAAACTATGTATACACAAACATTGTATATATATAAACATTGGTTTTTATTATTATAGCTAGTCCAATAACAGATTTTGAATAGCTAAACCTATGTTTGACAATTCAACTTTTCTAGTGAATGTTGAATATTTTTATCATTCCTAGGCATATCATTGGGCTAGTGCAATTTTACATCCCTGAAATGTTTGTAACTTTATTTATCTTACACATTATTGTATGAACAACAAATTCAAAAGAGCGCACAAAATAATCTGCTTAAAAGCACATTCATAAATCATCATTGTTTTTTTTTTAATCGAAGCATGTCAGCTAATTATAAATAATTAAAATATTATCAGCTAAATTTGTATTTAGGTAGGATTTTCAAATATTCATAATTGTACATACGGGACTTGAGAACAGCAGCCTCCGGAGGATCAAGGCGCTCACACCCACACAGAAGGCAGCGCTCCTTATCCAAGTAGGGGTTGGGCCCCCGCGACAGAGACAGAATCTGTGGCAACTCTGGATCATCCTTAGCATCCATTAGCTTCTCTAGCTTCTTAAGAGTCTGAAATAAATATAACACAGTCTTTACAAACTGAATATATAGCCTCTGTATAATAGGAATATCCATGCCCACTGCCCAGCAAATCAGTATATATGCAGTATACATATCTAATGAGTATTGGAAGTCTCACAATGTACTCCCCCCCCCCNGTTGTGAAACTGGGCCATATAACAGCATGAGTACAGCTAAAACAGAAATATTACACGAAAACTAATTATTGCTATTGTTTTATTAGAATGTATGTAAAATGTATCAATCATTAATAATACATCCATTCAAATCTGCTGTCTTAGCAATAGATAAGTTGCTTTCCTCAATTTTTTTCATGTTAAATCAAGGTTTCACTAGATGATACAAGATGAAAATCTTTTGAAAATTGGAAAAGTCATTCCTTCTCTGAAATTTATATAACATAGACGTTTTTGTGTACATTATTTATCCAAAACTTATTATTGGAGACATGTACCATATTAGTGGTTTTAACATTACTTTCCAGCCTATATATATATATTTTTACTCCTGTATGTCAAGACAGTATGATCTAAAATACCATGCATTATGTATATGTGTGCGTATGTATAGTATGCAAACAATAAGGTTGATCCAATTGTCAAACCCTGCTCCTAACAGCTGTATAAAATTGTCCTCATTATTTTCCAGCGGTATGTGCACATACACAAATACACTCAGAGGTAATTTTCTTATAATAATATATTTAATGACTGGGTGACAGTTATCTGATCAGTGATGTTCTCTATACAGCAGCTACATCATAGTAAAACAATATGTTTAGACAAAGTAACTTAAAATCAATACCAAATCATAACATAATTTGTTTTTTATGATCAAATGAAATTTGTATGATACCTTGTATTTATTTAACCAAATAGCAGATGATAAATCATGTCAGTCATCTAGATTGGGGCTAGCCTGAAAAACTTAAATCTTCAGGTAATCAATTGCAAGCAACCCTTCAAATTCATTGGTGGTAAATATTGTTGACACGTACCCTTAAATAAAATTTGTACCAAATTATGACAATTTTATACAAAAACTGTTAAATTAAGGATATATCAGCTTCGTGTATACATTTTTGTAACTGTCTACATGTCACTCAAACAAAGTATTCTCATGTGGAACTACATTGATTTTTCTCCATTTAAAGTGCAACAGATCTTTCACCTCGATTTGTACTATTGTCCTAAAAACTCCACTTACAGCAGGTTTGTATCATGCCCTGAATCATGTTTTACAGTAGCTGTCCACCATTATATATATAAATCACAATTTATATATTTACCATCAATGTATCTGTGGGTAACATGTGGGCCCATCATTTGACAGTTCTATCTATCACGTCAACCTAGTACTAAGCTGTGGTCAATAGTATACAACACACCAAAGACATATATATATATACCCAGTGTTTTAAGTGATAATTCAAAAGTTATCCCCATTATTCTATGGTACTTTTGCAAACAAATCCTGATTAACAACACAGGTTGTTTATTTTCTGTAGCCAATTTCATGCTATCACCAATGACTGCTGCAGTGCTTGAAATGAGGACCAGCCTAAAAAATTGTGGCCAAGTAAAAAATTTGAAGCACTGGCCCAAATGACATGTTGGTGGCCGAAATAGCATTTAATACAATGCTTCAGCACATTAAAAATTACATGTAACATGACAATGTTTGTAATATGTAAAACTGAATAAAATATATTTTTAATTCTCTAATTCTGACATGATCCACTCCATTCAGGTCTTGAATATTTCCCAAAGAAAATACACAAAACTCTCACTTCAAAGAAGACATCCCTGGACATATTTTTACGGAGCGTAAACTTGGACTGAAAAAATCATCACACATTTTCTAATATTTACTTTTTGTAATAAACCGTAATCAGTGACAGTTCGATTTGTATCGAAATAATGACAACTAAAAAACGTACTGTCCCCAGTTAATGTGAAAGGGACTATAATTTGTTTTATTTTCAGAATTTTCGACAGTCACCCTAATTATTTTTGTTGGGCCAGTGACTACCTCTCTTTCGACAACTTTTGGTCGCCAGAGCAAGACTTTTAATCGCCAATGGTGAGTAAGCGACTGCTGCCATGCCTTATTTTCCTCAGATATACAATGTATATGAGCCTAGCTCTGCATAATATGTGTCATTCAATCCCAATTACAGATTCACAGTTTATGCAAACATACATAACACAACGTCAGTGAAGGTTTGTTTATTCTTGCTTGTTTCGGAGGAATTTTTTTTCGTTTCAGGCTTCAATTGCTTTTATTACCAAACTATCTTTTTTTTGCAGAGAGATGCCAAGGTTAGGAACCTTTTGTCAAAAGAAACTGTTGAATGAAATCTCAACAAGCCTAACAGAAAGTAATTTGTCAATCTAGTTTATTTACCTGGTACACAAACATATTTTATCTTCAATTATGTACACTCTGTTATCTTGTTTATCTGTATATCAGATGTTATTCAATGAAAAACATCAACAATAACAGAAAGATGACAAGTAAGTAAGCAGAGAACTAGCTTCATCTTTTCAACCCAAAAAATCTGTAAATACATCATGAACTCTACCCTATATATAATATACAATTGTGTAATGTATAACCAGTTAAATTGTATGTCATCATTGTATGGCAAGTTTTAACTGAACATAACTAAGATCATATATGGTCGCCTTCTAGCTTTGTGCTAGTATAGAGGGAATTTCCCTTTAGCTCAATAGGTAGAGTGGCAGACTCAAAATATAAGCTGGCAAACACTGGTTTGATCCAAAACACATTTCTTTCCTGTTGCAAATGGTGTTTGTTGCATTTCCTGTGGTATGACAGGGATGTCAATTCTTAGAAGAAAACACATTTTTATTTCCTGTTACAAGTTAAATATATTACTATTGACCCCAAGTAACTTGTAATTCAGAACTAGATGATAATCTGCACTGTTCATTCTGGAAACTTGTTTCTTTCGTTTTTGTACAAGATTATCAGATTTGCAAATGCAATTTGAAATGAACTGTACCATTTAGCTGACCAGTTCTAAGCTGGCACAATTTTAAAGTCAATTCAATGTAATGCACAAAGGTCTGTTAAAACTTATAATTAGCATAGAAAAGTAAACAAAAACACAATTGCAAAGTATTACTGAATTTGTAAATAGAAATAATGTGCCCAGGTTTCAATGGATTTTTTTAGCATATACAAAAACTAGACTTTAAAACATGTCAAGTTAATATAGTGCTGCCATATATAGTATAGTCATTGGATGAATTTACACAAAATTTGTTTTAATTGGCACAGTGCCAGTTTCCCAAAATATTCTCGACAGGCATTTGGGCCTAATTTCTAAATATTGAAGCTTTTGTCATTTATGCACAGTATGTTCCAATCCATTATATACTGGTATATATAATACAGCAGTAAATTAATTGCAAGCTCATCACAAATGCATATAACTATATGTAGCTACATGATGAGATATAAATAGATTGTGAACTACTTGGTTTTCATATGGTTACATGACTGTATAACGGTTTGGGCTCAGCCAGAACTGTATATAGAAACAAGTTACCTATGTGGACTTCAAGAAATTATAAAATCAGCAATGAACGAAGATGTAGTGCAGTGTATTGGGTCTGTAAAAACATGTTAACAGGGACAATAACTGTTCTGCTATCTGGGTCCCGTTTGTGGGTCAGGAATTTTCTAAATCATATAGTAACATTTACAGCGGTCGTTCTTTCTTTGTGAAGAAACCTCGTAAATGCATCAGCAAAGTACGCTCTGCCATGGTGTATGTTTGGCAATACAACATACACAAATCCATAAACGGACATGACAGCCTTGCCGGGGCCACAGTCCGACTGCAGCTAGCACCTGCCAAATTTATTCCAATGCAAATCAAAAACAAAAGCGTTATCTTCCCCTTCTCCAAAAAGATCGTTTTACCTCAGAATCGATGGATGACGATAATAAGTCTCTGGTGGAAGGAACAGTCAAGTCAACAGGACTTGGACTATTTTGACATGTTGCTTGAGTCAAGTTTTGTGACTTTGACTTGGCAACTGAGCTTCTCTTGTTTTTCTTCCTCTTAAGTTTCTTGTCGTCTGACGCGCTCATGATTCAGTTAATAAAACACTTAGACGAATCAAGATGTTAATTCCTCGATCCCTTTACCAAAACAGTCGATGCATAAGGAGCTACCACTAAAATATTTTGATAGGGCTCTCATCGCTGAAAACCAACATGGCGAATACATTGAGCAACATACCCAGAATTCCATCGGTCTGTCTTCCGAGGGGAGGTAACCACAACTCGAAAAGTTTCCCGAGCAAAACATTTCCCCGAAAATATATATAATTGATTAAAAACGATTCACAAAGTTACGCGTATTAGCTATGTATGTTGTGTGTGTAGTTTTTGCACTATTTTGATTATCTTTCAATTTCTGTTACTGAACAGATTTTAGACATTTCCCTCTAAATTTCTACACAAGCCTGCTTCTGCAGTTGCGTACATAATACGGCCTACCTAATAAGCCTTGTTATCAAAGTATTGGAGATAGGCCCTAGTACTTAACGGTGTTCGACGATATGGACTGGACCCATTCCCTTACAAATATTTCTATTAACAAGCGGCGACATTTTTACTGAAAACATGATATTTTTAAGCCACCACGGAGAGAAACTAATTCAATTATGGATTAAACTTTAGAGGCCATTTATTTTAAATAGTCAATACTTTATAAAGCCGGTATCCCCACGCACATTACTGCTTGGGTGCATGGGTTCTGTTTACTAACCATTGTTTATATGGAACTCCAAATTAACATATATTAAATTAAGTGTACCTGTCTTCAAATAATTTAAGATAGGTATACGTACATTTGCTGAAGATAGGTTCAATTCAATTGAAGATAGGTACAATTAATTAAAAAAGGTTCAATTCGACTGCACCTATCTTTAAATAATTAGGTAGATACAATTATTTGTATTTCTCTCTAACTGAATTGTACCTGTCTCCAATTGAATTGAACTTAGGTACAAATACAACATATCCTCAATTGAATGGAACCTATCTCCAAATGAATTGAACCTATCTTCAATTAAATTGAACCTATCTTCAATTAAATTGAACATATCTTCAATTAAATTGAACCTTTTTTCAATTAATTGTACATTTCTTCAATTATTTGAAGATAGGTACAATTAATTGAATATATATTAATTTGGCGATCCATTAAGAACACGGCGCAACATTAGGCGCTTTGCATTCAATCTTATAAAGATGAGGGGGATTTAAGTACACGACCCCGCTCTACTGTATTAACTGTATTGGTGGGTGTTTTTTTTTTTTTTTTTATCTGAAACAATGTTTCCATTTTGACATACTTTGAGTATGAAGACAACGATATAATATTTTTCGAGAAGGTTATAACTTTTGAAATCTGTAAGGTATTCAACAAGCTACTTTACTTCTTATGTTTACTATAACAAGACGCTTGCTCGAACATGGTTGAACATAATCTGGAGCTCGAATTGAAGATTTCTATAGGCCTCGTAGAGGTAGGAGTAACGTTAAAGAGGAGGGTGCCCAGGTGCAAGGATCCCGCTTTCCTGACTTCCTAGACACCAAATATCCGCCAATGTCCGCTCACTGCTCGGTGCTCTCTTCCTTAATTTTCGTTTTCTGCAGGTCACGTTTAATATACGAATATAGATAACACGATAACATTTATTGCATAGCAGCCTAGTACATTGTGTTTCGGCTTCCAACCTTCCTTGTATCTATATTTGTTATTCCGTATGTCAATATTTTTCATAGTTTGCTACCTTTTTTTTGTTATGCGTTATGATTGTTATTTTTATTATAATGAAGGTCGATAGAAAATGCACGAGGAAAATGACAAGAGGTATGGATTTAATTTCAGATCTGAACTGTCATTTGAAATTACTACTATTATTGCTATGCTATAAGTAAATAATGGTATTACAGTTTTAATTAAGATGTGTAATATGTACCCATGAACACCATAATAAACACGTTCATATAGAATCGAAATCCCTTACCTACTGATGTTACGTATACGTACACCCCAGTTATGTTGTAATCTGCAATAAAACTCTACAGATTATTCCTATCCCCCTCCTTGGCCCCGCTACTCCGTCTTCCATTTAAAATCGACCCAATATGTTCATTTCACTGTGTTTCCCTTAAAAATGCCCCAGTAGCGCTGATGAGGAATAGTAGGGACTGGTTTTCTTTGCATGAGTGCCCATCCGGCCTGTACTTGTGGCCATATGGTGTTCATGCACAAATCAAGAGACAATAGTTACAATGATTAAATAATTGTATGCACATGGCCCTTTTTACCCATTCAATTTGCTGGTGTAACACCTTCTATTTTTACAAATATTAACACAATACTTGTATTTCGTATACGTATAGGCGATTCAGACCCCGGTGGTGCGTGCTTATAGCTACTCATTGTGAATATTTAAAGTTAGTAAACATAGAACAAATATGTACCATATTTCAGATAATGTAATTGTACCATATTTGTGATTCTAATAATACGAAATGTACATGTATGCATTTCCACGTCTTCCTGAGCAGCAGGTAACCTATCGCCCATTTTTAGTGTGTTCATTGAATGTTAACTAGCTTACGAAAACTAACTTCTTAATAAGCTAAAAATTAGAAAAAATGATTGTCCCTGAGATTAAAGATCCTAGATATCAACTTTGTTTATTATTTTACAACTTTCTTTTTTAACTTATTTCACAGGTGCACAGATTTATTCTGACAATGTACATGAAATATGTACAAGATTCACAATCCGTTGACAGTAAGCTCGTTACATAAATATACATAATTATAATAGTAATATGATATTACCTAACTTTATTTTTTCTTTAAAAAATATCTTTGCGATCGTTTTTTTCCGGTGTTCATCTTTTTCATTCTCAAACTGTGTCACTGTCTTTTTGATCATTACACTCGATGGGAGGCTGTTCCATATGTCAACCAAACTGTGTCACTGTTTTTGTGACCATACACTCGATGGGAGGCTGTTCCATAAGGTAATCATTACACTCGACGGGAGGCTGTTCCATATGTCAACCAAACTGTGTCACTGTTTTTGTGATCATTACACTCGATGGGAGGCTGTTCCATATGGTAATCATTACACTCGATGGGAGGCTGTTCCATATGGTAATCATTACACTCGATGGGAGGCTGTTCCATATGGTAACCATTACACTCGATGCGAGGCTGTTCCATATGGTGTTCATTACATTCGACGGGAGGCTGTTCCATATGGTAACCATTACACTCGATGGGAGGCTGTTCCATATGGTTATCATTACATTCGATGGGAGGCTGTTCCATATGGTAACCATTACACTCGATTGGAGGCTGTTCCATATAGTCTTCATTACATTCGATGGGCGGCTGTTCCATATGGTCACCATTACACTCGATAGGAGGCTGTTCCATATGTTAATCATTACACTCGATGGGCGGCTGTTCCATATGGCAATCATTACACTCGATGGAGGCTGTTCCATATGTCCACAACTCTCTGCTGCATACACTCGATGGGAGGCAGTTCCATATGGTAACCATTACATTCGATGGGCGGCTGTTCCATATGGCAATCATTACACTCGATGTGCGGCTGTTCCATATGGGGATCATTACATTCGATGAGAGGCTGGTCCATATGTCCACAACTCTCTGCTGCATACACTCGATGGGAGACTGTTCCATATGGTGGTCATTACATTCGATGGGAGGCTGATCCATATGGTGTTCATTACATTCGACGGGAGGCTGTTCCATATAGTCTTCATTACATTCGATGGGCGGCTGTTCCATATGGCAATCATTACACTCGATGGGAGGCTGTTCCATATGGTGATCATTACATTCGATGAGAGGCTGTTCCATATGTCCACAACTCTCTGCTGGAACGAATATTTTCTTAGATTTAACCGTGAATACTGTATCTATATATATTTTAAAGTTATGGCCTCGTGTGTTTGACATTTTGTTTATTTTAAATAAGTCTGTGACTTCTCTATCATATTTTCATGAAACAATAAACCTGTATCATATCTTCACGTGATCTTCTATAATCTAAGGTTGGTAATCTTAATTTGTGCGAACGTCCATGTAAGATTAATTCAAAATTCCATTGTTCACCGCAATACGCACATGATAACATTTTCTTTATTAATATTTTCGCGTATGTCGGCTTATCAATAATGGTGTGATTCTAATAACCCTTTTGAGTCCACGAATTGTCATGGCGGTAAACGTTCCTCCAGGGTGTAGTTGAATCTATCAATGTTTGTGTTTCCCAAGGGAATCATTCTACATTTGTCCAAGTGGAAGTGTATATAGCTGCCAGATTTATGATCATTTTTGTAATGAAATTCAATCCTGCTGTAAAACAATCTTGTTCGTTATTTTTTGTTCTGAAAGCTTTTGAGTCATAAGCGAAAAGGTAAGTATCCGTTCCCGCGCTTGTTACATTTGGCATATAGTTTCTATATAATACAAACAGGAGTGGTCCTTGTATTGAGCCTTGAGGAATACCGCTTATAACTGGATTCCACCGAGACCATGTTCCGTTCACAACGACTCCTTGTTTCCTACCAAGCAAGAACGCTTTTACCCATATATCTTTTCCTATGTCGGAACCTTTACATTACAAAGCTAACGCTTTATCAGTATTGTCACATAGGAACTATAACTGCATATCGTCCAAAATAGGTGCCTCATTTATGGCTCGAAGAGCTTATACAAATTGACGATGAAGTTTCTCAGTTTCTCTATCCAAAAGGAAAGGACAGCACTACCACTCACTAGATCTCTGTTAAAAATAAAACACCACACATTTTTTTGCCGCAAGAATGACACTGATTTGATTACTGCCTTGATGAATGACACTGATTTGTATACTGCCTTGATGAATGACACTGATTTGTATACTGCTTTGATGAATGACACTGATTTGTATACTGCCTTGATGAATGACACTGATTTGTATACTGCTTTGATGAATGACACTGATTTGTATACTGCCTTGATGAATGACACTGATTTGTATACTGCTTTGATGAATGACACTGATTTGTATACTGCTTTGATGAATGACACTGATTTGTATACTGCTTTGATGAATGACACTGATTTGTATACTGCTTTGATGAATGACACTGATTTGTATACTGCTTTGATGAATGACACTGATTTGTATACTGCTTTGATGAATGACACTGATTTGTATACTGCTTTGATGAATGACACTGATTTGTATACTGCTTTGATGAATGACACTGATTTGTATACTGCTTTGATGAATGACACTGATTTGTATACTGCTTTGATGAATGACACTGATTTGTATACTGCTTTGATGAATGACACTGATTTGTATACTGCTTTGATGAATGACACTGATTTGTATACTGCTTTGATGAATGACACTGATTTGTATACTGCTTTGATGAATGACACTGATTTGTATACTGCTTTGATGAATGACACTGATTTGTATACTGCTTTGATGAATGACACTGATTTGTATACTGCTTTGATGAATGATACTGATTTGTATACTGCCTTGATGAAAGATACTGATTTGTATACTGTTTTGATAAATGACACTGATTTGTATACTGCTTTGATGAATGACACTGATTTGTTTACTGCTTTGATGAATGATACTGATTTGTATACTGCCTTGATGAATGATACTGATTTGTATACTGTTTTGATGAATGACACTGATTTGTATACTGCTTTGATGAATGACACTGATTTGTATACTGCTTTGATGAATGATACTGCACTCAAACTGTTACACAGGCAGACCCCTTTTTGAGGTATGGAAAATTAACGCAGATACACAGATTTTATTCTGTCTGTAGGACTTTAAAAAAAAATCCTCTGCTGTTAGGTCAATACGGTTTGAACAAATTCTGACAAGAGCATGGACATTTGAATAACACTTATCATTGATAGTTGAGGTGAAAAGTAAATTATACATAAATTCTTAATAAGAGTAATTAGTGTTCACAACATTGATTTGATAATTGATTATCAGAAAGTATATTCAGTTAATATATTTAACGGGTTGATAATAAAATTGGTTCTCTATAATTATACAATATCGGTTGGGTTCTCAAGTGATGGTCCAGGCAAGATTCGAAAGATTTGATAGTTCTTGATGACATCATCTCTGGTGACAGGCTGTTCCAGATGTCAACAGTTCTGTGAAAAAAATAATTCTTTCTCATGTTTAGGCGCGTTCTATCCTTGAAAAGTTTATACTCATGACCCCTTGTAACAGTATTGTTCTTCTTTTGTGACATGAACTTGGACAATTCAGGATCGTATTTCCCTGTCATGATTTTTTTTAATCATGTCTCTCCTGACGCGTCTGTAAGCCAATGATGGGAGCTGGAATACCTCAAGTCTCTCTGGGTAGGACAGGTCTGTCATACCAGGTATCAATTAAGTTGCTCGCCTTTCACCAAGTAAGCCGGGTTCGATTCTCTGATCGGACGTGAAACGGGGTCACCTCACCGACAAAGATGGTTTTCTTTGGGTATTCCAGTTTCTTCCCCCACGTTAAGACCCCCCCNTGACACACACGTGACTGCCTATACAATTTAGCAATATATATAAAATGTCAAAAATGAATTATACTGAACCATGCAGCTGTTTCTGAGGTGCCCGCCATTAAACTCAGTAGAGTGTTCACCAAATCTTCACAAACAGCTGCACCTACTTTAAACTAGTGGTGAAAGTGTGCAAAGATGCAGAATTGACGAAAGAATAATATTTCGGCATGGACATCAGCAAGGAAACCAGAGGATGGCACCCACCAACAATCATTAAGAAATTACGAAGGCAAACGTGATTTACACAATTCTCATCAAGATTAAGGCAGCGAGGCAGAGAAATGAGGCCAGGAACAAAATAATGGCAGATGAAGAGTTTCCAAGCTGTTTATTCCTTGATTGGACGGTAGCACAAGTCTTCATCCAACTATCTTTAAAACTTCATGTGGGTATTTCGTTGTCTGGACAGGGAATCTGCAGGGGATGGACGGAACATTTCGACAACCAACAATATCAGCTCCAGTCCAGTTCTACTATCAGGACGTGGCAGGTCAACTACAGTATGACGTCGACTAAATCCAGGGTAAATGCAACGTTGGTTTCAATGAAGAAGCTCTTTTGACATTTTCAGTAGAAGAGGTCTAACAAGCAATACAGGGAATTTATGAAACCGTTCTCATAATCAAGTATGGATTGTGTGCTTAAATGTGATAGGATCAAAGCGTCATTTTTTTTTGCTGAAAATTGTGGATGTCTATAAGTCTCGGTAAATTTCTTCAGAACCATTGATAAATTGAGATTTTTTGCTAATTTATCATCGGAAATTGAGTTTGAGCACAGAGAATCTCAGTTTGAGCATGATAATGGTTTCATGAATGTGGGCCCTGGTCTGCAGGCTGCGGAGCGCATACATTACAGCGGGGAGGATTCAGCTCATCTCAGCAATGAACCATCCCCCAATTCATGTCTGAAACACGAGCTCATGTCACATAAAGTATAGACGAAAATAAGACAAGAAAATAGCTTTCATCCAACAAGAAATCACCGTTATGCCAATGACATACAAGGTGCTAGATACGCTGCTGAAGAAAAGCCCCACTCTCAATAGACTACTGCTGGGTTTACCAATGCCTCACCACTTCATTGTGCACTATTCCTATAGGAAGCGTTATTGAATGCAAGATAAAAAAACACATTTAAATTGCTTTTCTGGACGCTAAGGATGCTTTTGATGTGGTATCGCTCAATCGCCTAATCAGGAATTTATTCTAAGCTGGAGTTAGCGGAACACTTTGGTGCCCGTTGAAGGACATGTACAACGATTTATCTCCGTCTACTATCAAGTGGAATAAAAGTACATCAGAAGCATTTTAATTATAACAAGGAGTAAAGCAGGGGACCTCAGTAGAAAACTCTACGAATATACATAAATGACGGACTTGAGAGACTCGCTTACTCCGGTCTTGATGCCATAATCAGAACCATAAGATTGCCGGCTCCCACATATGCAGATGATGGAACTTCAATCCCAAACACTGAGGTGGAACTAGCCAAACTTTAATTGGTACGGTATGGAACACGGCAACAGAGAGTGCTACATCATCTGCTCTCATGGTCTGGGTGAACATGGCATCATTTGATCCTCGCTATACGTGCTCCTCTGAAGAGTTCCTGTACTTCCAGTAATGCTCTACGGCTTGGAAGTTCTCCAATAAACATCAAACAAGATCCAATTACAGGAAAAAATTCTATACCAACAAATACGGTCAAAGAAGAAATATGGAGACAGAGGCAAGTGACATGAATTATATTCCTACTTGGAAGCATTACAAGGTTAGGTAGTTGAATATGATCTTGCAAAGAAGCAAATTGCCGCAACCGGAATCAATTAGTGAGACTGGTTAAGTGAGGTCTGAAGGCTCCTTGCCACCTTGGTATTCCAAGTTGATGAAATGCTGTAAATAATTACTGGTCAACTTCATTTAGAAAGGAGGTGCATACATCATGATGGTTACAACCCAGGCACACCATTCTACACTATGACCTTACCGACACAAGCTGCCAATCACGTGTCGGGATTACCAGTGATGTGGAAACTGGTTATCGACACAATGCAACCAAAACGAAGTTAACCCAACATGTTGTGTGAATTGGCCCCAGAAACGCTTTGAGGGAAAGTAGGAACTGCATTTCCCATTATTACAAGGCACAGTCAGTGGTTTTTAAGGGATTGAATCATTTGCACATCGGTCAAAAGGAGGGAAACTTCAGTTACCTCTTTATCTGTCAGTGCTGATTGCAGATTTATGAACCAACAGGCAATAGCATACTCTTCATTGCCACCAGTCAGAGGGTAAATCCTTATGGAACAGTCGTTATTCCATATAAAGAACTACTGAGCACAACATATGGCTGATGTGAGCGGTTATTGAAATCAGTAGAATAGGATTGATTAGCATTTCTGATTGGTTAGGGAGGATGTAGACAACCATGAAATTACAGCTTATTAAGCCTTAACATATAAATATAACTTAACCTCACAATATTTACCCTGCCCTGCACATCTGAACTCACTAACTATGCTATCTTGTATACTTTACTCACTACAAAAAAAAAACCAATGTTGCACACAATGAACGAACAAACATTTAATAACGATGTCCAGTGTATGAGGCTTTATAATGGAATTCCCAAATTCAGTTGAACTTTTTTGTGACAATTTATCTTACGGTGATGAATTGTTTTCTGCTTTCACTCTCTAGGTTACTGACAGCGCGGTTCCCTTTTGTAGGAGGAAATTTGTAACAAGACAAGACATGGCCGTATGAAAGGGAGGTAGACCCCACGTTTTATTAGTCAAAATAGTACAGATGCCAGTAAACTCATGCTAGAGTTAACGACAGCTCTCCTCAATCTGGTCTCCATTAGTAGTAGGAAAGTGCCGCTTTGGGCCAGGGTCATTGAGTGCACTCCCCTATATAATCCTTACCACCTCCCTGGCACCCCCTTCGGCAGGGGGGTACCGATCGATGACGTCACGGGGGGGGGGGTTCTCTATTTGGGTTTTTCCTGACTGCATCTATTTGTAGCGGTCCGATTGCATCACGTTTAGAAATAGTCAAACTGGTTTCAACCGGTTATGAATATTATTCCTATATCGAGTACTATTTGCAGTGAATGGGTGTTTAAAAACGAAATCCTGCTGCTGCTGCTGGGTAAATACAGCATATACCGGCTGCTTCATAATGTCAATGTAGGATGATTGCTGCTGCTGCTGCTGCTGTAGTTGTTGTTGCTGCTGCTTGGCCTACCATGGGGATGGAGTCAGGTAAATAGAGGGGCAAGTGACCAGGCAAATAGAGGGGAAGGTGACCAGGTAAATAGTGGGGCCGGTGACCAGGTAAATAGTGGTGCAGGTGACCAGGTAAATAGAGGGAGAGGTTACCAGGTAAATAGTGGGGGAGGTGACCAGGTAAATAGTGGGGCAGGTGACCAGGCAAATAGTGGGGCAGGTGACCAAGCAAAAAGTGGGGCAGGTGACCAGGTAAATAGTGGGGCAGGTGATTAGGCAAATAGTGGGGCAGGTGACCAGGCAAACAGTGTGGGAGGTGACCAGGCAAATAGTAGGGCAGGTGACCAGGCAAATAGTTGGGCCGGTGACCAGGTAAATAGTGCGGGAGGTGACCAGGCAAATAGTGGGGCAGGTGACCAGGCAAATAGTGGGGCAGGTGACAAGGTAAATAGTGGGGCATGTGACCAGGTAAATAGTGGGGCAGGTGACCAGGCAAATAGTGGGGCAGGTGACCAGGCAAATAGTTGGGCAGGTGACCAGGTAAATAGTGCGGGAGGTGACCAGGCAAATAGTGGGGCATGTGACCAGGCAAATAGTGGGGCAGGCGACCGGGTAAATAGTGTGGGAGGTGACCAGACAAATAGTGGGGCAGGTGACCAGGGAAATATGGGGGCAGGTGACCAGGCAAATAGTGGAGCAGGTGACCAGGCAAATAGGACAGGTGACCAGGCAAATAGTGGGGCTGGTGACCAGATAAATAGTGCAGGTGACCAGGCAAATAGTGGGGCATGTGACCAGGCAAATAGTGGGGCAGGTGACCAGGTAAATAGTGGGGCAGGTGACCAGGCAAATAGTGGAGCAGGTGACCAGGCAAATAGTACAGGTGACCAGGCAAATAGTGGGGCAGGTGACCAACCAGGCAAATAGTGGGGCAGGTGACCGGGTAAATAGTGTGGGAGGTGACCAGGTAAATAGTGGGGCAGGTGACCAGGTAAATAGGGGGGCAGGTGACCAGGCAAATAGTGGAGCAGGTGACCAGGCAAATAGTACAGGTGACCAGGCAAATAGCGGGGCAGGTGACCAACCAGGCAAATAGTGGGGCAGGTGACCCGGTAAATAGTGCGGAAGGTGACCAGGTAAATAGTGGGGCAGGGGACCAGGCAAATAGTGGGGCAGGTGACCCGGTAAATAGTGCGGAAGGTGACCAGGTAAATAGTGGGGCAGGTGACCAGGTAAATAGTGGGGCAGGTGACCAGGTAAATAGTAGGGCAGGTGACCAGGCTTCAGTATGCAATACTCAACCATTCCAAGAAGTGTCCATAAACAAAATCTGTACCTTAAGGTGACATATGCCCTAACGTAATAGAGGGCAAACCTTTACTCCCCTACTGTGTTGTACCAGCGGGGAACAAGTTAGCACAAACATGTGATGTAAATTTAGCTACTATAGTACATCACTCCAACAACTAGTCTTTCAACAAGAAAACATACAGTCAGAGAAACAATACACCTTTATTAAGAACTGATGACAAAACAAATTTCAAAAGAGATGTAAGCAATCGATACTGACACGAGCACTGAATCAACAATAACTCTTTCTATTATACAGGTACATTTGATTAATAGTTCTATCATGGTATTGTTTGCAATAAGGATCATACTTCAACTTTCTGGGTAAAATCATCTGTTTTGTCTAAAGTGTCGCAAATTTATTGAGAGTTCCAAAGTGTATATCTCAAATGTGTCTATAAGTAACATACATTTTACCATAACTATGACCATCCCAATGTTCCAGCATAACTTGTTCATTTTTGTTTTACAATATGACTACCCTCATGTTCCAGCTTATCTTTACCACTTGTAAAAACATATGGTTAGCTGATTAGGGCAGTCATATTGTAAAATATATATGTACAAGTTATGCTGGAACATTGGGATGGTCATAATTATGGTAAAATATATGTTAAAAACATCAAGCTTCCATATACACCTTTGGGAGAGAGCATTCTCAGAATTCTTTTCGGACAGTCAAGTTTTGATGTGCGATGTTATAGAAATCCCAAGTTCATGTCCAGATTTCTTGCAAAAATGCAAATGAAGTTCAAACTTTATATACAATGTACATATATCTACACAATAAACTGATTACAAAAAGGTAACTTTGTTATAGAAAACTTCACTTCTATTTCTGAAGAAATTATGGCTAATTTTTAAACTTAGATCAAAGTCATGTTTAATATATGGAATATACATATCTGGTAGGTTTTCTAAAGTCAAACAGGTTAAGGCTCCTGCACTGGCTCTAGTTTCGTGAAAGTGCATTAAGTTCAGAAAGAGGAGCTATAACATATCGCTCTAGGTACCCATTGAGTTATCAGATGGCAAATTCCATAATGACTTATTAAAATCCATATGATTTAGTAACTTTATTATCTGTGTACATTTGGAATTGTGAAATGTTAGTAGACCCATATTTTAAGTTGAAAGATTGAAACCTCAACGAAAGTAAGCTTTAAACATCAGTGAAAGTACAAAGCGATTATGATATATACAGTGTTTCAAAAATATTTGCATATATCATGTTGTAGCAAATCTTTTTACACAAATATACAGAATTTACAAAAGCAATGAGACTATCTAAACTCAAAAAGGAGGTAGCCATGTCTCTGCTATAGAATGTTTCTCAATTCCTTGATCAATGGTCAAGACACCTGCTACAGAAAACAACGAGATGAGGTAAGTAAACTTGTATATCACAGACATATTTGTATCATTACTTAAGACATTCACACTGCTACATCAAGTCCTAATTTTCCTTTCCCAGAATGCCATCAACTGTTTTTTAAGATATTCAGTTCAAACACTGACTTAAAACAAAAGTTAAAAAACAACCCTGGGATATTATTTATTTATCATCTGTGACTTACTTCAAAAGAAAACATCTTCCCTTTTTCTGAAAGCACATTTAGGGCAAATGTAGCCTGTTAGTCCAGGTGACTATTTACCAGCCTTACATAGGTGATATGGTACTTGTCTAAGATCTGGCCATTGGAGGAACATCCACATAAACAACGACAGATGGCCATGGCTGAAGTAGATGTCCAATGCTTCCATTGCACATAACATTTATGAAGCAATATTGGAAAGTACCCACAGTAATATTCTTATTTAGTTTATCTGTGAGTCAAATGATATACTGATTAGTTTTCACTGAAGCACTAGTTAGGTTATATAATTCACCAGCCCTTGCTAATACTACTACACGATAGTCTCAGAACTGAGAATCTTAAATAGAATCTTTTCATGTTATATTGGTATATAAAGTTGATGTGATTTCTTCCAGCATCAGTTACAAACTGTTGTGAAGATATACATCATAACAAAATCATTTCAACATTATCATGGCTTCTGTTCACACAATAAGATGATCATGATGTAAAAGGACTATCTTTCACAACTACAGCACTGTTTCACCCTGTCACCTTACACAGAAAACTGTACCAAATATCACCTGTCGCTTTACACAGAAAACCGTACCAAATATCACAAGTCACTTTGTAGTCCCCACAGCACCATTGACGACAATACTGCGTACCAGTCATATAAAGATAGGATGAATCTGCTTCAGAGTTAATTTTTTCCGACACGTTGGACAACATTTCTGGGCTCTGATGGCACTTTGGATACACAATTCACAGAATATATGGCCACATACAGTTGAACTGAGTCGGTTGCCATTTCTCGTTATCTACAACAACAAAATGGGAAATGTACAATTCACAGGGTGAGCCAATCCCTAACTTTGATGGAGAAAAACTTCTTACTTAATTATGCCATCTGAAACTGTCAATTTCCATTTTTTTTTATATTGTTAGCAATTCTGACAATAAATCTGGTAATGCGGGCGTAAAAACATGCGTTTCCGAGAGAAACTTAAGATCAATATTATAGGCCTTAAAGGCTAGTTCAACCTATTACAATTTTTCAAAGATTATGTCAGTAGAATGGTGAAAGTAAGTTAGTATATAAATTCTGTGTAGGGAGCTTACCCGTTCAGCACTGTCCAGACAGATAGGACAAGTTATCTTCCTACCCCCGGGCAAGGACGCTGCAGAGTCATCCAATTCTGGGCTGAAAGTATAATAAGGAGAAAATCATATTTAAAACATTAACAGTCTAATATTGGATCTGAATATACATTGTACTTTGATGTCAGTATTGTATTGATATGCACATTTTTAGTACATGTATGTGCATGTTGGTATCGATACATATGAAATTTGGGCCATTACACACCACCATTTTACCATTACCCATGCATTGGTCGTTAATTTAGCTATAACAACACAAAAACGACTGGAACATTACCTTCTCACGAAAGATCACCTCTTTTCCCAATCTCAATTAGACTCTGCCTAATTATATTAGCTTTTTATCATTCCCTTGCTAAAGGTAGGGAATTTTGCTAAATTCTAAAATGAAAATTGGGGATGAAACAATCAGGAGTCTTCTACAACACTGTCAAGTATGATATACATGTACTTTACAAGTTCTATATAGGCCCTTCATGGGGAATGTCTAAACTCCAACACTAGTAACTCAGGCTTCTAATTGTCAAGTATGATATACATGTACTTTACAAGTTCTATATAGGCCCTTTATGGGGAATGTCTAACCTCCAACACTAGTAACTTGGGCTTCTATTCAGAATACTACCTCAAAGGCAAACAAACTCGATGATTTAAAAAAAATCTTTATGTATTGACGGAGATATAAGTAATATTATCCTGATATACTCTTTGGTATTGTCACTGAAAAATTACCCAATTAGGCAAACACTAGTATTGTATTGGTGTAAAAAGTTTAAACCATTGACTTATACTTACTGAATAAGAGACTCGACTGTTATGATAAATACCAAGCTCATTATACATTTTATGTTTCTATTATTAACAAGTCCTTTGGTGCAGACTTCGTGTCACTTACAGAGCCTCTGCTAGAATATCATCTTCATTGGCTTCTTCCAGGATGAGGTCACCTGACAGATCGAGGGCTGCCTCTGCACCCACCTGTAACCATTAACTAAAGAAATCACCTACTGCCTCAGGTCTAGATGAGGGAATGACCTACTGTACCAGTTCTGTTCTTATCAGTGAAAGAATGATCTACTGCAATATACCATACATATGAGAGAATTACCTAGTGCACTTAATCTTTCTGTTTGGAAATTAACTATGGCACTGGATCTTTTAACGATCAGTGACAGACTTACTTACTGCATTGGATCTAGGTCTTTCAAGCTCTACCAGCTGAAAGATGTATATTGAACTGTTTACAATGAACTCAGATAACCAATTTATATAACAGGTGTTGCTTAATATCAATGACTTCCTTCCTTTGTATATCTAAAGCTTGTAATTGATTACTGAAACTAGTTCAAATTACATTCTTCAAAGTTATTTACGATATTTCTTAATGAGCCTCTCTTTGGGAAAAAAGGACAGTGATGCAACACTGTGCATCAAAATTCAATGAGTTTCTTTTAACTCTATTTGAGCATTATCATTTTATTTATGATATAACATCAAAACCCTATCCTGACTGTCTGTAAGTTTCTTTAAGATAGCAGGAATCAACATTCAAATGAATGAATCTCAGAATTGATATTCTGTTCAGTCAATATATGTCTACAACCATACATTCACTTTTTTGTTTAATGAACAAGCTGCATAAACAGCATTAAAATGGATAGTTGCATGACTTAATGAAAGCTACTTACTAAGGGCCCAAATCAAGACTGAAAAAACTGTTATCAGACAGAATTACTAGCACTTAGATCTCTTTGTAATGTTTGAAAAAATGGGAGCCTATCATTGAATTTGAGTTGTGAAATTTCTGCCACCATGTTTTTTAGTTAATATGAATTTAACAAAGATCACCTACAAAAAGGACTGATTCGTCTGCAGTGCTGTTAAAGGCAGGAGCTGTCAGTACAGTGGGACTAGTCAGGTCAATAAAGTCATTCTCAGTATCATCTGTTAGGTCTATACAGCTTCTGTTTGGACGTGTTGCAACTATCTGTACATCTGAAATAAATAAATAAAATGGTTAATATAGGGGATTTTCTATTGTTTGATGACATGTAATTTAGAACATGCATAATCATATCAAATGCCAAAATTTGTATCCTGTAGAGCTAATTTAGAACAGCATCTAAAAAATTATTATATCTTTTTGTTATTTATTTTTATTTTCATAGATTTTTTGGGTACTATTCACATTTTTGGTTGACCTTTGGCCATGGAAGGTTTCTGCAAAGTTTCTTTGAAATTGGTTTAGAGGTTTAGTTAGTCGAAAATGCAAATTGCTTATGGACGCACGACGGACGCCGCCGGACAAAAGGCGATCGAGACTTTGTCTCAGGTGACCTAAACATGCAATGGGAAAGATTAAGATTCAAACAAGTGGAGCGTTCTGGTAGCTGGCAGTTGACCTAATTATGAATTTGTACATTAATACTCTCAGTGAATATCAGTACCATTTGCATTCTGATCATCATTTACTATCACCCGTGAGTGTATTGGTCTTCTGCCAAGTACTGCTTCTTGAGGTCTCTTTCTCTGGTGACGACGAGCTCGAGACTGAAACAAATGTATAAGACTTTGATATTATGAAAAACAAAAACTGTTCAACCATAATTGTTTATAATTATAATGAACAATATATAAATAGTGTTTTCTGATATTATTGAAAGTCAAACACCAACATTTGATTACATATAAAAAAACTTAAAATTACTTTGTACATTGTGTTTATTTGAGAAATATACAAAGGACTTGTTATCAACTGTGAACCCACCCTGAAATAATATGGTATATTTTTATTTGACAAGTTGGTCGCAGAAGTAGCTATACCAAGCTTAAGCTAATGTTTGTATTTTTCTGGTATGTAATGTTAAATGAATATTCTTCAATCTTGTATTTGTTAATGGACACTACATTTAGTACATAATCTAAAAAAAATTCTTAAATTGTTTTAATTCAAACTATAAAGAGACAAAGAGGGCCTGTATGGTTCACCCGGTTATTGTTCTTTTCAGGAATTTTGATGATAAATTATTCATGAATTTAGCAATAAAAGCACAATTAAATTGAAGAACGTTTATCATTAAGCGCAGACAAACAAACTTGTTTGTATGATTATATTTTATAGACTAATATAAATATGATGGGCTGTTTTAGTGTTTATAAATATGTCGTCATGATCTTTGTGGAAATTTTCAAATCGTTGCTTGATATTACCACAGGAGATTGAAGTATACGGTCGGAAAATAGCGCCTAGTCAGGATTTAGCCTATACATGTCCACTTTATTTGTTACTTTATCCAATATTTATCGTTGATTGCCCCTTTTGTTGGATGAATTTGACCAGACATTTTTCGAGGGCCTTTTAGTGGAAAATAAATTATATATTTGCACCTCATTAATCGATATCTTGGACATCTATTACATTTCAATCGTTTCATTATTATTCTAAAACATATCTTACGGCAAATGTGACAGTATTTACAGTATACAGTTACTGATTAATACAAAAACTCACCCTGTCTTCCCTTACTCTCGAAGACATTTTTGTGCAATGGAGGCTAAGGGGAGATAATTTTCTGTTATTAGAACTCTTTTAATTGAGGAGATAACAAATGTGTACACTTCCGAAAATTGACAGAAAAAGCAGCTGACAACAAAATTGATGCATTTCCCATCGATACTACACGGATGATGTCTGCCTGCCTCGGATACTCATTTGCAAAGAGTTAGAGGTTAACGGTTTAAACGCTCATCAATTTCTCTGTTAAATTTATACCGAAGAAGAGTCATGGAAGTGTATCACACTGAGGACCATTACATACTGCACGATGGGGATTTCAGTCTGTGGTGTGACCGTGCTCGTGGTACACTGGAGCCTAAGAAGGGTATTGGCGATTTCCTTTCTTGTAACCAGTTGCTTACCAATATGTTACGTTAACATGAATCACTATTTACCCTGAAAGTTTCCCAACTCATTGAATGCAGACACATGAATAATTTATGCATACATATAATTAAAAACCGACAAAATAGTAGGATTTTGCCATTGTTTTGCACAGTTAATGAATAAGTTATAAGATACATTTGATAAAAAAATAATGCTTGCAATAGTTAACCATTAAAATTTAAAAAAATAGTCAAGATGTCTTGTGTTAATTTTATTTTTATTCCAATCAGAAGATAAAAAATACAAATGAAAAATAATTTTGATATTGAATGTATATATAGTATAAATTGCTAACAAAATTCAACTTTCAATTTTTCTCTATACTTAAACATGATAACGCTATCGTAGACAAACTGTGTTTAAAATTATTAGACCCAGAGATTTTTTTCCTATCATTGAAAAATTACTGAATGAATATTTTAAAATAAAGAGGTAGATATAATAAGTGTTTTAAGTGATTTTGTAAAAGTTTAAAGAAAATTTAACTTAAAATTGATAGGATTTAGGCACACCAACATTGAGTTAATAATTGACCTCATCAATATGGCACAGGAAATGATAATTTTATTTTGCAGTGCCAACACATTCTTATGTCATTTATTGGTTCAATTATCGTTAATACATAAACTACATGCTGAACTGAACTGAAAAATGTGAATTGAAAAGTTTCTTTTGAACCAAAACTATTTTTTTAGCCTAGAATTTTGGCAACTCTTACATATAAAGCTAAAAGCTATCAAGCTCAGAACTACTTAGTTTGTTGCTTTGTTAGCCTAGCACAGCAACAAAATAAGTAGTCATGAGCTTGATAGCTTTATATGTTAATGGAAACCTAGATTTTTTTATTGGCAAATATTTTTTACCTAAAAGAAATTACTGATAAAATAACATCAGATACAAATGGATAGTGAAAATGTTTGTGTAGGAATATAAACCTGTCAGCTGTGGTTACCTTAGCAGGAATATAGTCATTTTTATCAAATTTTACGGAAGTGTTATGGTATGGGTCTGTCCGTCCGGCTGGCCAGCGTTAACTTTTGTTTGTCCGGCAATCTCCTCCTACATTTTTCGACCGATCGCTTTGAAAACTTGGTATACATTATAATCATAGAATTTTGATTCATTAATTTTTCCAAAAGTTATTGCCGTTTGTTCATTTCAGTATTTGATTTTTTGTCCGGAGATCTTCTCCTACATTTTTTGACAGATTTCATTGAAACTTAGTAGGCTAAATAATCATGATATGTTGTTAGGTTGCCTTGAAAAGAACTTTGATTCGCCAATTTTTGCAAAAGTTCTTGCCCTTTGTTCATTTCAGTTTTTAAATTTTTGTCTGGAGACTTTCTCTTATTTCAATGTAAGAAAGTATATAACACTATATGGCATTCGATGGGCGTATATTGTTCCGCCCTACGGTACTCTTGTTTGATTTACTTTTTACAGTGACTACCTCAGGTAGGTCACCTCTAGATCTGAGCTGTGGATACCCTATTTCCCTCGTGTTATTTCCTATAGTGACTTAAAGCAGCCCAATGACCTAGGATTGCCAGATGACAAGAAATAGTCTGGCAATCTATTATTTAACCTAAGTAGACCAAAGGTAGCATAATTTTCAGTGGCATCCATGACAGTTGTCAAATGTCACTGTTCATGTAAAGTAAAACCCTGTGACCTCAGATAGCCCGGTTTGTTTGAGTAGCTATAGCAGTTTACAATGAATATATTTGATGACCTAAGGTAGTTACATATTTTGTTTGTTTTTTTCCCTTACTGATATTGTTGTTTGTTTAGGTTTGGACTTGTGCTCTGCCTGGAATCCTGTATGTATAGGCTGTGTGTATGGTGTTATTGGAAAGTTGATCATTCATCCAGGTAATGCATTTTATCAACTTAAACATCATTTCAAAGACAGAAGTTCTAAATTGACTATTAATAAAAAAGATTCTATGATATGTCTGGAAAACAATGGCAACATGTATTTAACCTGATTGATAAGAACAAGATAATATTCATTTTGTTATATTTCATACATAGTCATTTTCTTTTTCTTTTCTTTTTCTTAAATTTGTAGATACGGATCCAAGATTGATTCTTATTCGCAAAAGAAGTTTGGTTGGTAAAATAAATGATGTTCATGAGGTTTACAAGATTGACAAGGTCACTGTCCTGCCTTTGTCTACAGTGGAGCCGATGGAGCTTGATCTTGGGGTCAGTTATTTTGGAAGTTGATAGATTTCTTTTTCTTTTTTCCACCATCATATTTTTGTTCCTGAAACAGATTCAAGAAGTTTAAACTTGGTGCAGCATTATGAAAAAAACATTTCCTAACTCTCTATTAAAGGGCTACCATGTTTCGTCATTTTAGGCCAAAAATATAAAAAAAAAAAAAAAAAATGTGAAATGAAAGCACTAACAAGTGTTACGTACAAATGATGTTCTAAAAGAAATAGTATAACACAACAGAAGTGAAGACTTCTTAGATCATCAACAATTCATCAAGAACAGCTATAGGACTAAATGCAAATCAATTACCATCAATTAACATCATTTACCATCATTTACCATCATTTACCATCAATTACCATCATTTACCATCATTTACCATCAATTACCATCATTTACCATCATTTCAATGAATCTTTCAAAAGATTTTTTTTTGACTTTGTTAACAAAACCTTGCTAATTAGAAATCAGATAACCTATATCATTATGGTATGATTGTCACAATGTACCCCCTGGTACTTCAGTCTAGGATGTTTTTGTTGCCATCTTCCACCTATTTTGTATCCCATTTTATCACTTTATTTTTTTGTATGTGTAGTTATGTAAACTCCACCACTTTGGAATGAAGAGGACACAGAGAATTACCCAGCAGGCCGAGGGAAAACAACAGGCCCTGCAAAAGACATGGAAAACCATTAAAAGTGCTGCCGAAACTGTCAAACCAAAAAAGGTGCATTGTACATAACTTCAGTTGGCCTTCAGCAGAACTTAGAATACATTATTTTTGCTGTTGTCTCCCAGTTTTTTCCAAAGCAAAAAATAGTGGTTTTTTTTTATGTTTGACTGAATGGATTTAGAAGAACTTAGTGAATATGTATAAAGTGAAAGATGAGAATCATCCTCAAGTAAAACATACTTTTGTATTGTACGTGTATGTATATCCTGACACTAGAATGATTAACAAACCAAACATAGAGTTGTACAGGTTGGTAGTAACAGTTTACTAGAAATTTTGTATTTCATTTGTGCTCTTCTCAGTTTCTTTTGAACTTTAAAATTACTACACTTAAAACATTATAAGTATACGAAAATCATTTTTGACAACAAAATACCAAAATGTGTTATTCACAAATATTTTGTGATAAAAATATTTTGGTGTTTTTTTGTCAAAACTGATGTAAGTTTTTTTAGAAAATCCCATGTTTTGTAAAGTCATATCCCAACAACATGGTGGTAATGTAGATGTTTAAAGAAAATCTTTGGGTTAGTTATTAATGGTGAGCATGTTTAAAATGTATCAGTAGATTAAAGATTCATTTTTGTTGTGTATCATTCCATTATTTGTTGATTATATTTTATTTTCAGAAGGAATTAAAAGATAGAGACAAGTTTGTCAAGAGGATCGTTGATGTAAGATTAAATTGTTTACTTTTTTATTAAGAAATTGTTCAAACAGTTATTAAGGAAATGGAAAGAGGAAATATTCAATATCAATATTAACTAAGCGAAATTTGTTCATTGATTACTATTCTAATACTGAAACTGAATACTTCCTCTTGTAACATAAAGTAGGGAGAGGGGAGAGGAAATGGGGCTTAGATGTTCATGTTGTCAAGGATTTATGAAGGCCAGTAAAACGTGATTCAGTCAGGTCTGTTTGTCAGACTCTAGACTAGATATTCATTCATATCTGAAAGACTTCTCCAAACTATACCAGGTAACACAATCCCAGATATTGCCCTATTAAATGTGTCAAACACTGCTGAGTTAAATACACTCAGCATAAGTGAAACAGAAAATCTGTTTTACAGGACTGGGTCTGATTCACTAGTCTGTTAAAGCCTGGTAGGGGAGATAACTCTCACAATGTGGTTTACTCTATGACCTTAAAAATTGTCTATATCCTAAAAAGCCTTGAAGGAAATATAAAGAGCGTGAAGAAGTTATATACATGTAATATACTTTTTAAATAAATATGATACGAGTTGCTGTTTCCCCAGATAACTGAACCAGTGTTGTTTATACAGGAGGTACTGAAGATGTACAATGACAGCGAGTCGTTTTACTACTGTGAGACCTACGACCTTACCAACAGCGTGGAGCGTCAACATCAGGACAAATATGACCGATCTCTACCAATGTGGAAGAGGACAGATCCGCGATTCTTCTGGAATAGTTATCTAGTCACAGAGCTTGTCAACATGCAGGCTAGCGAAGAGGTCATAGTGAATTTTGTTTGTGGTTGTTAGGGAATCTTGTTTACACATAATTGCCTAGCTCTGTTTTACTGGTGTAAAACATTTGGCTGTGGAACTTTTTACTTATTGTATCCAAAATTTTGTACACACTGTAAAATATAAAGTAAATCTGAAATGAGTGATAAATGTGTCTAGGATACTTTGAAGGTATGTTTTAAGATTCTGCCTTTGGTCAGATTCTTGTTTTTTTTTGTTATTTAACTGAAGACATTGAAGTATAACAACATGCAAAGTTATGTCCCTTTATAATTGTATTGTAGAATACATGCAATTAACCCTTTCACCACTGTAGACCATAATGGACTCATCCATATCAATGCATGGTAGAGACTACTAAAGTTACATGGGGGTGAAAGGGTTAATATTTCTCTGTTTTCATATCAAATATTCAATTTCATTGGTATATATTTTTCCATACTGCTATTGATATAAGGCCATGCCCACTGCAACACAATAGTCTGTGACAAGATAGCAATAACACATACATACTGTGACTTCATTGTTATTGATATTGATTGTTTATGATTCTGGTTAAAAAATTCTACGAGATGTTATGAAGATAGGAAAGTTTTATTTCTGTCACATAATTTTGTTACATTCAACAATCTAAAGAAATTTTAAAAAGGTTTGAAATTATTAAGTAAAAATGTTGGCAAAATCCATATACCATTGTAAGTGAAATTTTCCATTGAAAAGAAAAAGAATTCTATCAATGTGTAATAAAAACAGGCCTGTGTACTAAGCTCTCTTGTGTGTTACTCTACAGACCAATAAACTGAACTGTGTGTCTTGTAGGAAGTGGAGTTGGCCAGCCATTGGATAACTCCCATCATCCAAGGATACTTTCAGCTTGAGAAATGTACCATGGAACTTGCTGACCTGATGAGGTCAAGCCCTGCTGACCAAATGGCCCTACCAGACTTTGGTAATACTAAGAACAAGGATCCGATTCACTTCAATCTCGGGATCATTTCTCGCAGAAGTATCCACAGAGCGGGTAGGTAGCGATCAATCTTAGGGAAACAAAGGATTTTCTCTCATTTCCGTGTGTGTAAGATAGAGCTGTCCAGGGTAAGAAAGGGGGGTAGGGAATTTCTATCTTACACTCCATTTCATGTGACGTGACGTAAAAAATGCTCAACAATGATGTGACGTGACGAATTCCTATGCGGCAATGCAGAAAAGGCGACATGGTTAAATCAAAACCTTTTACAATATATTTACACAGAAAGATGAGATTATTTTTTCTGTGCAAACTGTGTTTGCGAATATGGGGTATGCTTAATCCTGTTGACAGATTCGTTTTCGTAAAACAAAATTCTGGGGAAAATTGATATTTTGAAATGGTAGCCAGTCCAAACGCAATTTCATGGTTTCTAAGCTTATTCTGGTAGTTGAAATGAGAGAAAAATACTCATTCATGCTCAAGAGTGTAGGATAGGGAAATTCCAGCCTCAGGTTTTCAAATATGGCAAAAGCCTTGGCAAAGTCTCAGGTTTTACCAAAGAAAACCCCTCGGGTGGAATTTCCCTATCCTACAACCCTGGATATGAAAGAGTCTTAGTGTTTTTCTGCAACAAGGGCAATAAATGTTATGAATATACCTACACTATAAGGGAAAATCTTGTTTAGGGAAGATCTTTTTAATGTTATAAATATACCTACTCTATAAGGGAAAATCTTGTTTAGAGAAGATCTTGATATAATGTTATAAATATACCTACATTATAAGGGAAGATCTTGTTTAGGGGAAATCTTGTTATAATGTTATAAATATACCTACACTACAAGGGACAATCTTGTTTAGGGAAGATCTCGTTAATGTTATAAATATACCTACTCTATAAGGGAAAATCTTGTTTAGAGAAGATCTTGATATAATGTTATAAATATACCTACACTATAAGGGAAGATCTTGTTTAGGGAAGATCTTGTTATAATATTATAAATATACCTACTTTATATGGGAAGATCTGGTTTAGGGGAAATCTTGTTATAATGTTATAAATATACCTACACTATAAGGAAAGATCTTGTTTAGGGAAGATCTTGTTATAATGTTATAAATATACCTACACTACAAGGGACAATCTTGTTTAGGGAAGATCTTGTTATAAATATACCTACTCTATAAGGGAAAATCTTGTTTAGAGAAGATCTTGTTATAATGTTATAAATATACCTACACTAAGGGAAGATCTTGTTAATGTTATAAATATACCTACACTATAAGGGACAATCTTGTTTAGGGAAGATCTTGTTTAGCTATTCAATGTTGTAAGGTTTTGTAACATAATTATGTTGACAGGTACAAGATCTAAAAAGCGAGGTTTAGAGGAGAGTGGAGCCTGTGCCAACTACGTGGAGACAGAGCAGGTGAGTGACTGCGTTAGGGAAACATTGTGGCCTAAAGCTGGTTTCTGATTGGTCAAAATTAATTCTGGTTTGTTGTTGTTGTATTATGGTAGTACTGTCATGCTTCCACCTTTCTGACTCGCCAATATAGCCCTTTCCTTTTTTTTTTGGCTGACTAGTTTGTATAGTGCAGCAACTTTTTCATTTCATAATCGATGTTAAGTTTTGTGTTTAGCTCTGTTTCTTCAAAACTATGAGTGCAGGACCAACCCTAAACCTGGATTGAAAATAATTTTAGGGTATTCTGTATGGTTGCTTGCTGCTGATGCAGAATATGACCTCAATTTCATTGTCCATTTACATTCCAGTATCCTCATCTATGTTAAATTGTTCTTGTTTTCTTTGGTTTAGCTGTGTTTATCAAAATGTGAAAGTGACAAAAGCTACACCACTTACACTTGGATTATAGATGCTTCATTGGACGTGCATGTCAATACTTGCTTCATATGCTGGACATTTAAATTATCTAATTGTAAAAACAATGATTATTTCAATACATTGTAATAAGTTTCATATATCTAAAAGTTTGACATGAAGGTTACATGTACTTAATCTGAAATTCGTAACTTTGATTTGAAATAATTGAAAATTTCAAACTTTAAATTTGATTCTAATTACAATTTAAATTTGATTTTTTTTTTTATTCTTAATTGAAGATTTATGTTCCAAAGTTCAAATGACATTTTCAAAATGAAAAATTAACTCGATTTTTCAAATTAATATTTATTGCAATGTGGATCCTAATCTATTTGGTCCTGTACTCCAGTAATATTGTCAATATGATTGAGAAGCTTCTGTGATTTTCTATGATTCTGAAGTCGGTGGTTGTTGATTGCCAAAGTTGGGATAAGTGAGACATGTTATTCTTTAGAATCACTTAGTCAGAGTTATTTCATTATGGAAAATAATATGAAAAAGAAATTGACAGTACTGTTTGTTACCAAGGAAAAAATTCTTGAACCAAATGTGGTATGAAGTGATATAAAGTGTTTTGTTACTGAATTAATACATAGTAACATTGTTTGAGTGATGTACAAGTTATGTTGGTCATGATGACCATGTATACACAACATTGTACATTGTGATGATACTTGTGTGTCCTTTATTGCTATTCTACAGCTTAGATTATGTTACCAGTGATTACTTATAGGAAAGAAAAAACAGAACAAAATCAGTTGAACAGATTCCTTTAGCAATCAAAGCACCATTAATTTATAGTGGAAATTATTGAGCTTTGAAATGATACAGTATATTGTTTAGGTCTTACACAAGGAAATGATACAGTATATTGTTTAGGTCTCACAGACGGAAAATAATGACGGAGCAATTCTTTTATGATCCTCTCATTACAGATATATCACAGATATTGATTTTACTTATTCTCCCTTTTGTCTCAAAGTTGAATATCAATATTGTCTACACCTGTAAGAGACAGCTGGGACGTGTCGACCGACTCCCTGTCATTGATTGGTGTTTAGCCACAGTTTGGACAAACAAAGAGTTGTTTGATTCACACCATATATAAATAACTTCACCAGGTTTTTAAATCGATCTGGTGTTAAAATTATAATTGTACAGATTCCTTTAACATTTGTCGCTGATCATATCTGTATTTCTTGTCCTCATTTGATACCAGGGGGGCCTGTTCATTTATGCAGAAAAAATGGTTTGTCCGATTTTAAATGTAACAATTTTGGGTACAAATCCTGGCAGACCTGCAAATGTTTATGCAGGCCTTGCAAGGCTTTGTCAAGGCTCGCTTGAAAACGCAGCATCAGATTACTAGGTCCGACCTTATTTAATAAACGAACAACTGTGGTCCGACCAATTTAACCGTTTAACCCTTTTACCCCTATGTAACTTTAGTAGACTTTACCATGCATTGATCTAGAGGAGCTCCATTATGGTCTACAGTGGTGAAAGGGTTAAATGAAAATGGCCCAGTACGTGTGCATGTATCAACATCTGACTGAAATGCCATGTAGAAAATAGGAGTTGTCTCTCTTCTTCCTGGGTCCAGAATGTTTTTACTGAATTAAACATGTGTGGAAGACAGACATTCTTTAATTGACAGATTCAAATGGCCAAAGATCCATCATGGATGTCCCTTTGAAATTAAAAAAGAAAAATCTGATTAAAATACTGCAGTCACTTAAGCCTAAGCAGACTACGTACGGATACCAACAATTTGGTCATTGTTTCGGACAAATTAGAAATTAGTGTGTCAATCTATAGCTCAACATTTTGATAATAAAGTGTTATATGACATTTCGAAAAATTGTTGGAAAACTGTAAAACCCATTTCATCAAACTTGAATTTAGGCGTTTGGGGAAATTGATTAATTAATTATGGTTCAATTCAAGGCCAAAATACAAAATATTTTATTACATCTATAAACAATTTTAGAATGAGCAAAATTTATATACCAGGTAAGTCATTATTAATATGCCATGTAAAATTTTAAGCATATATACAAAAAATTGCTATATCAACATAAATTAAAATAATCACTATTTATATACTAGTGAAAAGAAAAACAAAACATATATACATTTGGCCTATTTTGCTTTTTGTTAACAAAATTAAGTGAACTGTCCAAGAGGTACTGGTCAAAAATCAGGTATGGCTTTTGATCACATACCTGTTGAATCTTGTTATAGTAATACAAGCAATTTTCAGACCAAGAAATACAACGTTCTGTATTGCACATATGCAATACAGAATGTTGTATTTACCTACTAGACGGAACTGCTTTTTATGGGAATCCCCTTGTCATGGCGGACTGAAAAGTTCCCGGTATTTGCAAAAAATTTCAAAGTTTATAACATCTTTGTATCGATCTCTACCGAATACGGAAGGTATGTGATAAAAGCAAGACCACACACTTGTGTTTTTCTAACGAATCAGAAAGCATTCATTTATTGCGTGGACGTATATATTCATTCATGCGCTTCGCGCACTCGTGATTATATTCGTCCGCACAATAAACTCGTGCTTTCTGATTTGATAGAAATAGACAAGTGTGGGGTCTTGCATATGTAACAGAGCCTTGTGGTAGGCCTACCCTCTCCACCAAATTGTGAAAAATCAAGAATCTGAGACCCATTTTGGTGGAGTGATCTCAATACCGTACCAACACAAGCTTCTCTTCACTACACACCTGTCTGGTTTATGTTTATGTCTGTTTTATTTCAACGGCAACTGAATGTGATTGGCAACCATGGATGGCCACTGTGTCCAACAACAGTCAAAAATTGTGTGCAAGAGGCTGGATTGAGGTTACAGTGTCATTATGGGATATCAATGCCATTTGGAATGGTACTGTTTCACACATGCTTCAAATGTTTTGAGTAGATCAACATTTTACTACAACAATAGACAGGTTGATTGTATCTATGGAAAGGGGGTACATGCAGTGATTGGTTTGGTTTTGGTCTCATTAAAAGTATCCTTTTAACAGCTAAAGTCATTTAAGGACGTGCCTCCATGTGTGTTACGTCAGTTTATTTAAGCATTGATGGTAAAATCATTAGATTTGTTTATTTAGCTTTTGTATAATACTTATAACCCCTGGGATACTGGTGAATCTCACTCTCTCACTCACTGTCATTTCTAGAACCTTAACTTCAGTGCTTGGATAATTTCTTGATCCATGGGTTAGGATTTAAAGGTTGTGTTTGGTGTTAAAAACTTCAATGTGCTGTTTGTAAAGTTGAAGTTTTGAGGGTGGGATGGTGCATTGTTAGCAAATAACAGATTTTGCTGTTCTCACTTTTCATCTTCTTATTCACATGCTTCAGCCAGTCCTCAGACATTCAGGCATTCATCATGGCCCCTTGGTTTTTTCTGTATCAACAGGTTGTGTCTCTGGTTTTATTTTCTGAAAATACTTGGGATTCATGACTTCCCAATCACCAAATCAAAGGTATCAATTTTTCTCCGCTGATCGTAGCACAAGGCCACCGTTACTCGTTCCGTAGACCACTTACCAACGTCACACTCCTCACCTCAAATATTAAGTGTTTCTTACAGTGTCTTAATGAAAACTCTCTGTTTTGTCCTTGTTAAAAAACTGTTACAGATGTAAGTCCTTTACACAATGTTGGTATTTTGGCCTTAAAATCAGGGTCAGTATCGTCGTTGATGTCTTCTTAATCCCAACACATAGTACCAGGTATGATCTTGTGTCTCCTTAATCCTCACACATAGTACCATGTATGNGCCGCTGTGACGCTAGGCAGTTTACTATTGTTAAGTAACATTGTCCATGCTAGTTTAATCTCCGATACTGGCTCTTAAATGCTTGAATGATCCTGGTATCCAATGGTTGTAAATGATTTGTTGCTGTTGGCAGAACAAAATGTATAGTTATATTCGATAAATTTGGTATGGAGAGAGATGGCATATTGTCCTTTATATGCAAAACTTCATGTTTTTTTCACAAGTCATTTTCCTGTTAAAGATTTTTAGATAGTCTATGAATTTCTATCACATTCTACGAATGATTGGTTTCAATTTGTCAGCATTACACATTAGGGCGACTGTAATACGGTCCATTATTTTTGTCCCTTTTTAAAATTTGCTGTAGCCAAAGAATGAATGGGAAGCTTGTGGAAGACCAAACCATTTTCATCAACATTAAACACATTTTTCAGTTCATATGTGCTCATTGCATTTATTGTCCTTGATCTACCATCTTTAATCACGTTCTCATCAACACTTGCACTCTCTCCGGACATCATTAGAAATTCAACCAGCCATTTGAATATTGAAATTCAAGCTCGAGGGTAGGCATGGAAAAGTGGCAGCAATGGCTATGTGATGGGGTCATCACAGGTATAAGGGTCAGTGCTCAAGAGCTTTTTATTTAAAAAAATTGTAAGTGACAGATATATTCTGGAACTTGGTATTTGCGCGCCATGCATACAAAGTTTCTCCATGTCCATATGCATTGTAGATT